GAGGTTTTTTTACATAATTTTTTTTTCAGAAATGGCATTTAGTTCTTAACTCTGAATTCTAGCATGGTTAAAATAACACATTTGTGGATTATCAGACCACTGGCTGGCAGACCATTAGTAACCCTGTAATTTTGCTCCCTCCTGTGAAATTCTCTGTAAATTATCCCCCTAACAGCCAGTCTGTCCCATTTTCAGAGATTCATTAGGAAAAGGAGAATTCTTGAAGTTTTTACTCTATTAGCTTGTAGATTTTCCCCAAGTATTTTTTGGTGTTGTTTGGTTTTGTGTTTTTTGCTTTTTTCTTTTTTTAATATCTGGTTTTATGCTTTCATGTGTATTGTGAACAATTTCTGTGTCATGGCTTTGGGTTTTTTTGTCAAGGGAATCACTGCTTCTGGGGCTTTTTTGGCATACAGCCATATCATAGAACCACAGAATCCTTTAGGCTGGAAAAGACCTTTTAAGATCATGGAGTCCAAGTGTTCCCCCAGCCCTGCCAGGTCCCCGCTGCCCCGTGTCCCTCACCCCACATCTCCACAGCTTGGAAACCCCTCCAGGGGTGGGGACTCCACCACTGCCCTGGGCAGCCTGGCACAGCCCTGGGCAACCCTCAAGGGGAAGAAATTTTCCTCATGTCCAACCTAAACCTTCTCTGGTGCAACTTGAGGGCATCTCCTCTTTTCCTATCACTTGTTCCTTGAGGGAAGAGACTGATGCCCACCTCTCTACAACCTCCTCTCAGGGAGCTGCTGAGAGTGAGGTGGTCTCCCTTGAGCCTTCTTTTCTCAATACTAAACAACCCCTGTTAAATATCTATTAATGAGAAAACATCTGCTGTCATCTGTCACCTCAAGTTCATTTTGAAGGGCTCATACATTAAAGAATGATGGCTGAAGTGCAGCTGCTTCCATGCAGGCCTCCTATCTAGTGGTCCTTGAGTGGTCACCTTGCTGCTGGGGATTGTCTGCCTACAAATTTAGCTTCAGTAAAAAGTGAAGGCAATTATCATTGCTACTAGAAGGTGTAGTAACCATCAACCAGCTTCATAGCTGGCTGCTCACACGGGTGGACCCATCTATTCCCTGCCAGGAGGTTTTTGAAGATGGGATTTAGTGGCTGGAGATAAGTCTTTAGGCCTGTCAGTCCATTGCCTCTATCAACGTGTGCTCTCAGCTGCCTCTGCCCAGGCAAAGACCCTGGGGAGCCTTTGGAGCTTAAAGGTATCTGTTCATTTTCTGCCCATTTCCAGCTTTTCATCTCCATCACTGGAATTGGTCTCAGGGGGACCAAACATTAGCTTGTGGATTTGACTTTCTGCGCCAGAAGAAGGTTTTAGGAGTGATTTGTTCTTTGTTTAAGCAGCTTGCTTTTCTAGAAAGGGATAAACGACCCGTAGATTTACAAGTCCCACCTGAGTAAGTGCTGGGGACTTTCAGGATTAAGGTTTTACTTGGGGTTTTTTTGTTTGGTTGCTTTCCTTCCTGCATCTGAACACTTTCTCCTATATCCTGGGCTAGTTTATCACGTTCCAATGGATCAGGTATCTCAGTAGCAATATCAGTTTTTAGAGCTGTAACAAGCAGAACTAGAGGCTTCAGGAAGTTCTGAGTACAGAAGCAGCTTCTAAAGAGTTTCAGCCATCCTTAAAAATTGTCCTTTTCCATTTCCTAACGTTTGCATTCCCCGAGCACCAACTAACAATGGTAACCCAACTAATGGTTGGGATCTAGACAACCAATCCTTTCTGTTGAGTTTTTCCAATAATGCATTTAATTAGCTGGGGGTTTGGAGGGTTGATTGCTTTGCCTTCTCCTCCTTTGCTTTTCATCCAGCTGGTTCCAGTGTGGGGTTGGTTTCTTTTTGTTTCCCACAGCAGAAGTCTTTGATCCCCACCACTAGGTTGTGTAGCTAATGGGGCGCGCCACAGGGTTACTCTTAGGCTGCACAGCACCTTCTCTTCAGACCTTCTCCTCCCTCAATGGGGCAGCTGCTGAGAGTAACTTCCCTGCCTGTTGTGCACACATCTGTTAACTTCAGGCTTAGAACAATTACAGGCTCTTTCTCTCCCTGCCACGAGTCACTGGAATCAAATCCTTCAGTTCTTCATGACAATAAATCCTCCAAGCCCTACCTAGCCCCTGATGCTTTTCAAGTGTGGCTGGAGACAAGTAATAATTTATTCAGATGTCAGAAAATAATTTGAAAAATGTCAAGAAGGAAAGAAAAATGAGGTAGGAAAGAATTACTTTCTGAGTCTTTAAGGTAGGGCTTTGGGTGGGTTTTTTATTTTTTTTCCTTTTAGTGTCCTGAATGTGAAAAATTTGGAGCCTACCTGTAAGAACTGGAGAGGGGGAGGATGGTTGGAGAGCAGGACACCTTGTCAGGCACTGGTACTTGTGTTTGTCTTATTATTTGGATAGTAAGATTGAGAAAAGCATCCTCAGTGCTGCAGAGTAGGACATTTCTTCTGGAAGAACACTTGAAATCAAGCTTGAAGCCTCATCAGAGCTCAAGTCTTTCTCTGGCCTGCAAAATGCTGTTGCTTTTTCTAAGGACCTATTTTTTCTCATCATTTATTGTCCTTTTTTTAATGAAGAATGACAAAATCAAGATCTTCATGAAGAAGTCAGTGTTTAGGATCTCTCCCCAGCTGTAATTTGTGATTTCAGGATCTGAAATGTAGGAATCTTTAATTCATAAGACAATTAGACTGTCTGTAGAGAGAAAAAAAAGAAAAAAACAGGAACAAATTGTTGCAGGTTATCTCAGTTCTGCCAAAAAGAAGTGGGTGTTGCAAAGTAGAGCCAAACCATCTCCTATCTGGAGTGAATCTGCAGGAAAGAAAACTGAAATCATGCAGAAAGGCACTTGCTGCATTGCTCCTCAGTTTCCCAGAGATTCTTGCAAGGGGAACAGAAGAGGGCTGGGTTAGACAGGTTCTTTTCTCACCTTTCCTGCAGCTTTCTCCAAAACATATTCAGATGAACAAGCTTGAAACACCCCATAATCCTCTGCTGACAGAATGCAGTTGAGCCACTTGGATTTTTCTCCATTAAACCAGGGTTCTTGAAGCAAAAGGGTTATTATTTATTTTGTCCTTGCTTAAATAATCTTAATAATATGTCATGAATTTGCAGGCTCTTCCCAGGACACTGCTCGGTGGAAAACTGCCTTTCCCTAAACCTATTTTTAGCTACAGTCCTTCAGAGATGATAGCAAGAATAATTTTGCTGAATATTTGAGATTTGAGAGGAAGGAAGGAGCTAGGCAGAGATAGTATTTTCCTACAATGAGTAGAACAGTCTCCTTCCTTTTCCTAGTAGAAGAGGATGGCCCAAAACCTTTCTAATGCTCTCATGACTTGAATCTCCAAAAAAACCTGTCTTAAAACCTACATTATTGTGTATTATATGTATATTAATTATCTTACAGTCTCTATTGCACATTCAGGACACTTAAGTAGAAGTAAAATACTGGAAACTTCCATATGGTGGAGGGCAATTGAATTCTTGTCATGCTTCAGAATGAAACCTCATGAAGGTATCAACTGTTCTAGGGTGTGAATTAAAAGGAAGGAAAAAAAAGTGTCCAGTTTTGCAGCCCCATCAGCCTGAATTTGGTAATTTCAGAAAGTGCTGGGTTTAGATTCTATTATTTCTACTCTTAGACCCTCTGACATTTTTCATGTTCTAACAGTCAGAGCTTCCTGTTGTTTTAAATGGATTTTTTTTCTCCTGTTGTATGGAGTGCAGAAGCAAAGGAAAAGACAAGTTGAGTGACTGTAGGGAATGCTGCCAAACTAACTATATATAGTGTTTTTAAAAGCAGAGAAAGTAAGAGAGAGAACTCACAACTTCTTGAAATGGTCTGTGCAAACGATGGATGATAAAATTATCCATTGAAATTGCTGGAAATAAACTCTAAAAATTCAAAAGTTTGAGACTTGCCATCCTTTTAGCTCAAACTGGAGCTTTAAGTTCTGTCATAACTGTGATGTTATTTATCTGATGAGTTGGTTTGGGCTTGCCTGTAATGTCATAGCATCACAGAAGAGTTTGGGTGGGAAGGGATGCTCAAGGATCATCCAGGCCAACCTCTTGGCCATGATGATGTAGTGATAATATATTACTACATTTTCCACTAAGTACTTGACTCTCAGAATGGAAGTTTTCTTTTCAGAAGGAGCCCAAAGTACCAAAACATGGGTGCCAGACTACCCAAATCTATCAGTAGATGGGTTTGTAGTGCTTTGAGTGTTGGTTTTTTCACTAGAGGAACATTTAGTTGAAAACATTTTCCATTTGTCCTCCAGTCAGCTGATTGAAGTCATCCCTCTAAACCAACCACTGATTTTTCTTAACATTTTATTTCTGGTGCCCAAATTTCTGGGCTGGTACCCAAGTTTAGCACGGTGGTAGAAGAAGCCCTGTGTGTTCAGAAAGCTGTTGGGGCAAGGGCTACAGAGGGCGTGGCTGCCATGGCACACCAGGGTTCTCCATCACTTTCCCCCTCTGTTCTGCAGAGTGATGTCCTGCAGCACAGATCTATAAGTCCTGTCTCACTTCAGGAGGTACAGTTGAGGAGCTGGGGTAATTTGATGAATAGTGTATGCTAAGAAAAATCTTAGAAACCAGGAAAGGCCACGTTGTCCATGGAGGCTCATTTCATTCCAAATGCACCTTCCCTAGGTGATCATCCAATTGCTGAGAGAAAGACTGATGTTATCTATTTTTATATACATAATTCCACTTCTGGTTATTACAGAGATAAATACCCAAATGCTGGAAAACTAACTTTCTTTCAGAGCACTATTTCAGGGAAAAAATATTTAAATGCCAAGAGGTGGCACGACAGGAAAGAAATAGACCCTAAATGAAAAATATGATGATAGTGATATGAATATATGTGCAGAGTCACAGCTTCTCAGAAGTCCCCCAGGGACAAGCTTCCAGTTGATGAGACTTTCAGGTAGTAACCTTTCATTTGATTTATTGTTTCAGGACCAATGCAGGAGACAATATATGACTTTTGGAGAATGGTGTGGCACGAAAACACAGCCAGCATAATCATGGTGACTAATCTCGTAGAAGTGGGAAGGGTAAGTGACTTTTTTGTCCTTAAAAAGATGAAAGACTTCCAAGGTGTTTTGCTTTTGGAAATGAAAGAGCAGACCCACAAGGTGCTTGTCTACTGAGTAGAGCACATCAAATATTTATGACTGCCTCTGCTTAAGAGGGTCATTATCAATTGTTTTTAAAGGTGCCTTGGATGCTTGGCTCTGATAACTGAACTGATAAAAGCTGCATTTTGTACAGCACGCCCTGCAAAGACTGCCCAAAAGATCTAAAAGTGTCTTTGTGGGTATCTCATACTGCTTCTCTTAAGGGAATCCAGGGAATTGGTTGCAGAGCAAGGTCTGGAGTCATCTGGGTTTTTTTTTAATGGGGGCCAAGGGGGAGTAATTCTGAAAGTGATTTCTGAGAAAAGCAGTGAAACTGTGAAATTGCACCTTTTTCATGGTGTGTGAGCCTGAATCAACCTGTTTTTTGGGGGGGGTTCCTTCCTTAAGTCTTCTGGACTAAGAAAAGAGAAGCTTGGCTCATTTGCATCCTGAATTTGTTGACCAGGAGGATGTCTTCAGGAGCTGAGTAGTGAGGGAAAGCTGGGGTGACCTGGCTGATACCATGCACTTGTCTCTTCACTTGCTATCTTCTCAAGCAGGCCTCCTACTCAAGTCATTATGGCCAATTTTGCTTTCAACCAGCTTTGAGTGGAACTTTTTTGTTTCTTGCCACCCTCAATAACTGAGTCTTCTAATTTACTGCTTTCCCTGCGTGCTGATGTCTTAGTTCTTGGAAAAAATAACACCCCAAATAAGAAAAAGTGCTTGGGAACTGGGCATGTAGCTTTCATTTGGAATGAGGAATAAATACCCAACCCCAAAACCCCACTGCTTTTATTACAACTACTGCAATCAGTGTAAATCAGAGTGCTGAAATAAGTCAAGTGCACATATCTAGGGGTGAGCCACATGGTTTTAAGAGGTGTTTTCATTTTCACCCTGGTGGAGTGGCTGGTCCCCCTCTGCCCTGTGGCTTTTGCCTGAGGAGAGAGACCTCTAAACTCCTAAACCACTGATGTGGTGGGATTCAAAGTATGGGACCCTGTCCTCCTTTTCAGCAAGTCTGCTTTTAAAATCTGAATTTCTTCTTCCTGATGTCCTTTGTCAACTGTTCATAGACATCCTAACATTTAGATGTCTGTGTGCAGGCCAGCAGATCGGGTGCCAGTATTAGATCTATTATTTTAGATCAAAATATCAAAAAATCTATTTTTGGGGGGGATTTGTGACTGCAGTGAACACCTGCTGCAGGAATACATCTACCACTAATTGCAGAGACAAAAAGGGATCGTGGAGGCAGCTTTAGAAATCCAGTCCCTGGAGTGAGGAGGAAGGTGCAAATAGTTGGAAGGTCACATATCAATTCCAAACAGATGGAATTTTAAGGCTAGGAAGCTCTCCAGCAAAGCTCTCTTGGTTAAAGCTTTCCATGCATTAAGTATCCAAGCAAACAACTTAAAAAGATGTTTTCAGGGTATGGCTAAACAAGCAGAACAAAAATAGCCTTCTGCAGGAAGCCACACACTGGTTTTTTTCCCTCAAAGTCAGTATTTGGAAGCATCATTTGGAGTGAACAGTCAGGCACGAGGCAGGGAGGTGCCACGGAGGTCTCTTCAGGGTGCAGAAGTCCCAGCAGGACTCAGAGCCACAGCTTTGCTCTGTCTGGCAGGGGTGGAAATGGTTTTGTTCTCAGTTTCTCTGGGGGCCAGCATAGGTGAGATCAGAGAGCAGAAACTGAGATGAGCTTGTGAGGGAAATGGGATCGTGTGAGCCACGGACCAACTCTGCCACTGCTCCACGGGTGCTTCTGCCCTGCTCCCAGATTTTGATGGACTTTTTGGTGGCTTTCCTGCAGGGCAAACCTTGTAACCCTCTCAGCCTTGAGGCTTTCAGTTGCTGTTGCTGGTGTAAGATTTAGAAGGGTTTATTGTGGTTTTATTTCTAACCCTCTTGACCCGTTGTAAGCCGAGGAGGAAAAATCCTTCCTGTTTTCAGGACAGAGGAATATCCATTTAACAGGTTTGCCACACAGTGTACATCCTTCATGAATTAACCATCGAGGGGGCGTCGGGGTGGTTGTTTACCAGGCTGGTCATTAAATCAGTGCTAGGAACTCACTCCTTGCCCTGGAGCCTTCTGCATGGGGGCTGTTTTAATTGCGGATGGAGGAGTCACCAGGAGGCCATCCCTCATGCAAGCACCTGCTGCAGACACCTCGGTCCCCACATTGCCCTCCAGCAGGGTCTGGGTCCATCTGCCAATAGCTGTCATTATCTGAGGCACACTTGTCAAAACCACACATCCCTTCAAGCTCTTGCCTGTTCCGGCGAGGGACCCTTGTCAGCGTTTCTGGCACCTGCAGCCCGCCGTGCACCTGGTATTTAAATGGCATGGAAATGTGTTTTGATTGTTTTTCACTCTTTAATGAACCCACCTGAGGGACGTGGAGCTCTTCATCTCGTAGCCTGTTACCCAGTGGCTCACATCTATGTGCTGGGGGGTGGAAATTCGGAGCTCGCTCGCGCCGTTAAACCCTCATCCATCTGCCAGGAGCCTTCTCGCAAAATCCGCAGGGCTCCCCGAGGAGGCTTTTGTACTGGTAATTTAAGCTAATGATTTCTAAACATATTTAGGCAGTTTTATGAAGACCTCATTAGAATGTGACTGTTTATTAAAAATCTAAATGAGGTCTCGCAGCCGTTTAGAGAACTCGTTGCTGAGTTGCATGAACGGTTCTTGGGTAACGGGTGATGGAGTGGGGTTTTAGTTAAGATTAGCAAGTTTTCAGTTGAAAAGCAAAACCCAGACTCAAAAAATACACCTGTGTGACCACAAGCTATTTCAAAATGCCTTTTTAAAATAATATTAATGCAGGAGGCTGCCTTGCTCGTGGTAGAGCAACTGGAGGCAGTAGTAGAATTTCAGACAATATCTTTTCCTGGTCTAATCTGGCAGATTGTTCTAGAAGAAACAAAACTTTATCCCACCAACATAGGGGTGATGAGAAAATGGACACAAGAGAACATCTTGCTTCCTCCAAGAGATGTGCAGACTCAAAGTCAGAGCTGGATCATTGTGTGGAAAAGGATGGGAAGTGGATCAAGGTCTTTATGGACGGGCCAAAGTCTCAGGTTGCTTCCCGAAGTGTTTCCATCTTTGCACACATAGAAACACTTTTTTTTTCCTCCTTCAAGAGTTGTGTTGGGAAAATTTAGAATATGTCCAACTGTGCCATCTAGCTGTCACCTCCATCTTTGCTCTTGTTGGGCTGCTGCTGATGGTTGGCAGAATCAAACTTGGCATGTCACATCGTTTGTCATTTGTCAGTCGTCGCGTTCTCTCCCACTCCTTGGTTTTGCTTCAGGCAGGAGAAATTTAGTAATATCTGATTAATAAGTGGTGAAATGCACTTGATGGGATTCAGTGGAGGTGGTTGATACATAAATGTGCTGTAGAGTTGGGGTTGTCTATCGTGCTTTTACTATAACAACGTATTTACCAAAAAATAAAAACCATTAGGAATAAATATAAAAAATAAAACCTCACCCCAGGAGCATGGTAATTACAGTAATTAGAGTTTCTCAATTATTATCCAGAATTAGAAAACAGCCAGTGCTAATAGTGTTAATAAGTACACAAAAGACCCTTTATTTTTTTTGCAAGGAGGCAGTGTTGGCTCCAGCAGAATGGATGACAGAAGCAGGGGAATGAAGGTCAGCCAGGGACTGGTGAATAGCCCTGGCACCTCCACACACCCCTTGGGGCTACCAAAACAACCTCCTGGTAGCCATCTCCCTCTCCTCCTTGGGTGGCTTTCTGTGCTGTATCTGCACAGGGGACAAGAAGGGGCACAGTGGTGGCTTAGTGTTGGATTTGTCTGGCTGGACCTGTTGTAGACAGGGGATGTACATGACACTCATCTGCCTTGCTGCAAAAATTTGGGTGGCTCCAACTGTTAATGCTTAAAAGAGTGTTGAGGTCCACGTGAGAGTGAGGAGAGCCACACAACAGTGCTCTGACAGAGAGGGGATGTCTCCTAGAGGCCAGCCAGCTGAAAAAGCATTCCCTATTGCAAGGTCAAATCCATCAGGAAGGAGTCTGGCTTCTCAGGAAAGCCCAAAGCAGTCATGGGCTTGGGCCTTGGGTGCTCAGGGTGTCCACCATGGCCAGCACTCAGGAGACCTTTCTAAAGCAGACACAGTTCTGTTTCCTTAACAAACCAACCCCAGACATCTTTATGTTGAACCAGATCTTCTTCAGATCCCCTTGATGTTCCATTTCTGTTACAGACACTTGACATCCAAGAAAAATGGCCAAATAAAGCCCTGCCCAAAGACTTCTTGCTGAACACTTACTGCAGGAACCAAACAAAAACCTGATAGGAGATTCCAGCAGTGTAAAAACTGTGCAATTTCCAATGGACTTGCCAGCTATGCTTAGAATAAAAAAGGAGTTTATTGACACAGAGCTGTGATGAAGCTTGCACTTGTGCATCTTACAGATTTTGAGACTCTTCCATGCAGAACCCTCAAATAAACAAAGGTAAATTCAAAGAGTGTTTAAGATGCAGCTCAGCCACTCCAGAGAGATTGCAGAGGTGGAACACCGTAGCCCTAACACCTCTCACAACCAGCACATTTGTGTTTAGGAGAAATGGAAGAACACTTTCTCTAATTGAAACTGCTTCTCAATGCAATAAGGCAAATTACCTGCGTTGGAATTAGTTCAGGATAGTGGCATTAGTGCTCTTTAGGAGGAGTGCCAAAGAGTTTGTGAGCCTACGGGTGACTGAGGCTTCATTTTAACTTTTCTCCTCCAAGAAACTACACTTTCTAAATGAGAGGGAGAAAGATTCCTGTATGAAAACCTCCCTTACCTCTAGGTCCTTCTAGTCTCAGCTTCTAAAACCTATAAATAGTGTCCTTCTCCATGCAGAGAAAATTTATTAATCGTGTTAAGATTAAACATGATTTTTA